GAGAATGAAGTAGGTCAGTTAGCCCATCGTGACGAATTCAACAAGAATTGTTCACGATGGTTTCCAGGGGGAACCACGTGGAGGTCGACCTAACAGGGCACATTGCTAGCAATGGGACTGTCAAACACCATTGCAAACAATCCCTTTCCCCCCGGAAACTTCAACGTTAGACGCATTTATTGCAATGAAAAATTTAAATACGCTGTTATTTCAACCTTTTACGGTTCCATTTATTTGCTTTCCCATAAAACATTGAATGGGGGGAATCTATATTATAATAAAATCAAGAGTTATGTCAGTATATAGGTTTTGCAGCATGAAGATAAGCGACGGAAGTTAGGCTATTCATCATCATTTCTCATCATTTAACTGTCCACTGTTGAACATAAGCCTTTCCCATAAGGGGAGCTTTGCCACTAGTTGCCAGTAGTTATTAAAGATTGTGTTCAATAAACAAAATCGACTTGTGGTAAAATTATGTAACTACGCTGTATTATATATATATATATATATATATATATATATATATATATATATATATATATATATATATATATATATATATATATATATATATATATATATATATATATATATATATATATATATATATATATATATATATAATTTAAAAACTAAACTATTAAACCAATCTAGATATAATTTTCCACGGAATCAATCTGTAAGTATATACTTTCAGATAAAAAAAGAATTATCTAAATCGGTTTAGAACTGATGGAGTTATGAGGCAACAAACATAAAAAAAAATACAACCGAATTGAGTGAGAACCTTCTTCCTTCTGAAGTCGGTTGAGAACTGTATTTCACTGCCATGACATATTTGGTATACCTCATGCATTGCAAATCTCGAAGACTGTGGTATTATGTTCCCGTACCCTGTAATTTCGCTGCCATATCTCACCCTTCAAACTATACAAGTACAGCTGTTTCAGGATACAAATACCAGTGGGACAACGACCCTTTTTTTGTATAGTCTCTCTTTGATATCGTTTTTTTTCTAATAATATTAGTAAGGACGGAAAGGAAGTAATATTAAATTCAAATTCAAAATAATCTTTATTCAAGTAGACTTGTTTAAATCGTTATTTTTTTTAAATCTATCGCAGGGTTCGGAAAGTTGTTATCTGTTGAGAGGAGTCCGCAAGAAATTTAACGATTATTCTTTTAAATCTCTGTTAACATTATATATTTATTTAAACTTTAACGCACAATAAAATTCTATGTACATTTGGCGAACTAAACACCGGACGGTGTTCTCTATAAGTCAACCATTATTATATAAGTATTATTTACTAATATTGTTTCGCTCTTGCAATTTTTTTTTAATTTATACCTCTCAGTGCTTTAACAGATTAACAAATTACTATGAAATTTGATATACACATACTTCACTTTACCAGAGGGAGACTTTGTATAAAAGTCGTTTGTTTGGGCACCTCTGTCCCATTCCTATTTCTACCGTAAAGCAGTTCTTTGTATGACTATGTTTTGGTTTGAAGGGTGGGATATGGCAGTGAATTTACAGGGTATAGAGGAATAACACCCGAGTCCTCAGGAATAGCAACGCATGGGGGGTATCATGGGTGAAACAGTATACTCTGTTATGTCCATGGTACTGCTCATGTCTATAGGCGACGGTTACCACTTTCCATCAGGTGGGCCGTCAGCTTGCTTGTCATTTTAAGTTGCATAAAAAAACTTTATATTACGGGACGGGGAAGAACACAGGTTACTTTTTTATTCACTCACTGTACACATCTAGAGCATGCTGTTATCGCTGGTAAATTTGCATGGTACTTTTTACCATATTTTAAGCGTGCAAATCCTGGGTGTAAAGCTAGTATAAAATAAAACGTTCTAATGAATGCTAATAGTCAGATATCGTGCAGATTCTTGGCGATAAGGTTGTATGATCGCGGAGCAGAGTGGCGAGTTTCGCGTGCATTTGGTTATAAATAGTTTAGTCGGGGGTAACCATTTGTTTGCTAGAATTTCATAATGCCGATATTTTAATAATACCCTTTTAATGTCGTACAACTAGTGTATTTATGTCAGTATTTTTTTTTAACAGGTGAAAATGGAATGGTAACCGAGCCTGCGCTAACGGGATACGCTGGCGGGGCACCAGTGAAAGGTGATAGATGAGAATGAAAACAGGCCAGTTAGCCCAACATGATGAATTCATCAGGAGTTAACCATGATAGTTTCCAGGGGGAACCGCGAGGAGGTGGACCTGGTTGGGTGTATTGCTAGCAATGGGATTCTCAGTCCCCATTACTAACAATCCCTTTCCCCCCTATGTCAGTATTTAGGCATTTCCACTCTATATATCACTATTTGCGTAGATCCTGTCATAGAATAGCCCATCCCTTTCTTTCCCGTGGATGTTGTAAGAGGCGACTAAGAGAGCTATGGTCAAGGGATGGCAGCAGCGCCTTTTTTAAAACATCTCCAAATTTTTTTCTTGTTCTTTTTTTGTATTTATTAATAAGGACGGGAAGGAATTAAGCGTAAGGATGCATTCCCTGCCGATAGCGAGCGGTACGATGATAAAAGTTGGCATCATATTGAAGAGTTCTTCAGAGTACATCCGTTATAATAATAATAATAATAGTACTAATAAATCTTTTATTTTTAGGTATATACAGTTATTGCGATTAAAATTTACTTTTAATTAATTACAATTTATACACTACTAATTATATACGTACAAACTATAATTATATTTTTAAACTATGCATTAAATAACAATTTTTTTTTATACAACTTAGAATGGCAAACAAGCTGACGGCCCACCTGATGGAAAGTGGTAACTGTCGCCTATAGACATGAGCAGTACCATGGACATAACAGAGTATACTGTTTCGCCCATGATACCTCCCCCATGCGTTGCCATTTCTGAGGACTCAGGTGTTATTCCTCTGTACCCTATAAATTCACGCCATATCCCACCCTTCAAACTGAAACACAGCCATGCAAACACAACTGCTTCACGGTAGAAACACGAATGGGACAGAGGTACCCAAGCAATCGACTTTTATACAAAGTCTCCCTCTGTTACCAATTTAAATAATTTTATTATAAAATCTTTTGTCGTCAGATATGCAGTTATATAGGATACTTCATGCATTGATTAACGCGAGTGAATCCACGTGATAAAGCATGTAAAAAAAATGTATTAAAATATTCCTTTCTTTTGTAGCCGCTTGAATGTAAACTCACAATTTGATTTCCTAGTTTCGGGATGGGCAAAAGAAAGTGCATTATCACGTCAAAGCTCTCCCCAGGAATATGAACCTTTACTATAAAAAGCGGGATAAGTTTATTTCGTATCAGGGACAATAAGACCTTGTACCCTCGGTGACATATTATATACGATTATAGCCTGGAAAATCCAAGGGACTCATTTTCCTTCCCACCATTAACAGAATATAGTGAGCTGACGCTGTTTAAAGACGATTTCTCTTGTGTGTATTTTAAGTAATATATTTCATTATCACGAGGCGAAATTGCCAATTTCAGCAAGTTAGCTGTCGTAAAATATTACAAAAATTCTGCGGGCCATTTGATGGTAACACGTTGAATTCAATAACCTCGCTAATCCTGTTACTGTTACAAATGCGAAAGTTTGGATGGGCGTTTATTAGTCTTTCAAGCAAAAACTACTAAACGGATTCGAATGGAATTTAGTGCACAGATGAGTTATTTTCTAATTTGATATATACTTCATAGTTGATGGATAGATAGCAGCGTCCTTCTTAAAATATTACTAAATACTTTTGTCAAGCTTGGCAAACTATGGGAAAAACCTTCCTTATGGGGAAGGTTTAAGTTCAGCATTTTTTTTAATGGGTGATAATGGAATGGGAACCCCACCCGCGCTATCGGAATACACCGGCGGGGCACCAGTGAAGGATATCTAAGGTGAGGATGAAGCAGGTCAGTTAGCCCATCGTGACGAATTCAACAAGAATTGTTTCCGATGGTTTCCAGGGGGACTCACGTGGAGGTCGACCTATTAGGGCATATTGCTGGCAATGGGGCTGTCAAACTCCATTGCCAACAATCCCTCCCCCCCCCCTAAGTTCAGAATTAGACAGTTAACGGCTGAATTGGATTATATACTTTATATAGTATGTTAATTAACGTAATTCATTCATTAAAACTAATATTCCGATGTAAGTACAGAGGAAATGGCTGTCATGATTATTTAAACCGTTTATCTAAGGGAAGAGGTAAGATTCTCCGGAACTGATATGCTTGTAAGAAACCTAGTTATGAAAGTGTATTAAACTAGAGATGAAAGTAAAAGATAGAGGCCCTTACTATCTTTGTTTGGTTCTCTGTCTAAACCTTTTTTTTTTATACTACTATGATAGCAAACAAGGAAACAGTCCATCTGATGGTAAACAAGGTTACTGTAGCCAATGGACGCCTGTAACATCAGGGATGTCACATGCGCATTGTCGACTCTTAAGAAATTTTAATACGCCCTTTTTGACGACACTCATGCTGATAGTTTCTAGGAAAAATCTCATTTGGAAGATCATTCCGTAACCAAATTTTTCGCGGGAGGAAACTCCTCTGAAATTATACTGTGTGACCATTCCGGTTCTAGGATGTGAGGATGAAGTCCCCGAGCAGTGGGATAGTGAAAGGTAGCTGTAAGCATCATGTCGAAGAGTTCTTAACACCACAATCTTTTATCACAACGGTGTTTAGCATGATGATAGATACATTAGCCACAAAAATTAAGGAATATAAAAAAAAAATCAAAATTTTTGGGTGATCTTCAACGAGCTGTAACGCCGAAGAAAACGATGATACAGCAAATAGAAAAAAAAGCAAATTGTAGCTCCAAGTGTCCAGTTTTCAGACATGATCATGAATATTTTTTGTCATGTTTGGGTGTGGTGGTCTTACATAAAAAAAAATTATATCCCTTAATTTTTGTGACTAGTGTATATATAGATACTTACGTAATCGTACAAGCGCTGAGCGCCGTTTTCGATTCGCCAGTCCCCAAAAGGACTGCACTTTATTTGTATTATCTGAAAAGAAAAATAAGCACATAAATAAAATCATAAATTACATTTTTTGTTAAATATTTATTTATTTATTTTCTCTTTATTGCATCACTTAAACAATAATATAAATATATTTATTTATTTCAACTTTTAATGCACAGTAAAATTCTGTGTACATATGGCGGACTTAACACCGGTCGGTGTTCTCTACCAGTCGACCATTGGGCAAACAGATACAATATACAAAACAAAAAAACAAAGATACAATAAGTAGACGGTGCATTATTGAATAGAGGAAAAATAAAGCAATACTTGGTATATTTATATAATAAATACATACATAAATAAATACATAAAATATTATTATAACAAGCAATTAACTATAATAGAAGAGCAAATATATATATATATATATATATACAACCGAGGTACACTGGCAGGCCACTATTGAGGGATGATAGGTGAGGATGAAAGCAAATAAGCGTATTGTGATAAAATCCACAAGAATTAACCGTTAAATTAACTACGTGGAGTGTGACCTGATAGGATTTATTACCAGCAATGCAGCTATTAGATCCCCATTCCTAACAATCCCTTTCCCCCTGTTACATCCATCCATTATATTATTAATTCAGCATGTAATACGAATTGGTCACATAGTTCATAGAATCGACAACCGATGGAAAAGAAAGGTTCTTGAGTGGCAACACCGTATGGGCATACGTAGGACGACTCCCCACTAGATGGACTGTCGACTTCAAATGTATTACAGAGAGTCAGTGGATACGGGTGTCTCAGGACCGTTCCTTATGGCAGTCCATGGGGATGGTCTATGCCTAGCAGCTACGCTTGGCAGGCGGTATAATTAGTAATAGTTAGACTGTTGTGGTATTTTAAAAGGGATACTGCAGCCTATCCATCGACCATTAAGTTTCCATAGTCGTCTAACGACACCCACGAGAAAGGAAGGGGTGGTCCATTCTATGTCGGAACCACGCGATTAATATTAGGTATTATACTCGTATTTACTTCCATATAAAAAAATTCAAAGCAAATTCACTCAAATCTTTAGCAACTTATTAACCGAAAAAGCTCCAGAGACGTGGTCTAAGCGAGCTTTTGTGTGGGCGTTACATAAATTATTAGGCACAAACTTACATCTGGTAAAAGCTTTGAAAATTGAATATACTTCAAATTATTATCATATTCGAAATGAAGAAAAAATATTAGAATGAAATATAATTTTATTATGTCGGTAATATTACAGTAATATCTAGTATCGTACATACATAATATCATAAATGTCGTTTGCTTGGGTACCTCTGTCCCATTCTTGTTTCAACCGTAAAGCAGTTGTGTTTTGCATGGCTGTGTTTCGGTTTGAAGGGTGGGATATGGCGTGAATTTACAGGGTACAGAGGAATAACATCTAAGTCCTCAGGTATGGCAACGCATGGGGGGTATCATGGGCGAAACAGCATACTCTGTTATGTCCATAGCACTGCTCACGTCTATAGGTGACGGTTATCACTTTCCATCAGATGGGCTGTCAGCTTGTTTGCCATTCTAGGCAGACTGAAGTTGTATTAAAAAAAATCTATATCTTAAGCCCCTATGGACAATGATGATGGAAACAAGGTTATCATCTTTTTCTATATTACCTATACCGGTCAGATATCAATATTCATTTCGATTGGTTTCTTCTCTGACTTGAAGAGTGACCGTTGAAATTGTGTGCTCCCAGCATAGGATGGGCCATCCCTTCTTTTCCCGTGGGTGAGTTAAGAGGCGACTAAAGGAACTAAATGGTCGAGGAATGGGAAGCAACGTACTTCTCATAACGTCACTAAGACATAACTGCGGTTGCCAACCTGCCCGCTAAGCGTGGCAACTACCGATAAAACTTGCCTTATGGGGGAAGCTTATGTTCATTAGTGGACAATGAACGACTATATTACATATATAATACTTTCACTATTTAAACAAAAACTTTACTATATATATATATATATATATATATATATATATATATATATATATATATATATATATATATATAATAGATACTCTTTATTGTTTCCTCTAAAAGATTACAATAGTAAACTTATTATAGATATAAATAATAACAAGAAATAATCACATATATATATATATATATATATATATATATATATATATATATATATATATATATATACTGATATAACTGTACTAAACTATATGAATTGATATAAAATTTAAATTACACTTGTTTTGAATTCTAATATGTACAATTTAAAGTTTCTAAATAGACATGAGTTATTATTAATTTATTAATCAGACATTCAAACTATGATTAAAAGTTCAATACTTGTAATTAGTAAAATTACTTTGGTACAAAGTGTTTACTTTTTTCATATCAACTGTTCTAGTCATACTGTTATAAAATCCAACCGTACCGTATCGATTAACCGTTTTTATATATAAAAATAGACATCATGTTTTGTCACTCTTTTTAAATTAACAACTTCAAACAAAAGAAAGATACCAAACTCGTTATAAGTTACAGTTTTAAATTGATACTTGTATTTTTTACAATTTATCGTAATGTGACACGTTATCATACGATTTTACCGTCACGATACGATAGTGAAATAAATCGATTGTTAATTTAATTACACATTTTTGTATGTATGTGTATTATATGTGATAAATTAAAATTTAATTTGATATTAATTTTTTTTCAAATTTATCGTATAGCGACACGATTTTACCGTTACGTTACAATAGTGAAACAAAATGATTGTTAATTATATTGATAAGTATACTTTTATATTTCTATACACATTGACGATATAAATAAAATCGTGGAAATTAATTAATTAGAACCATAGAAAGGGTTATAGAGGGTTTTTATTTTTATTTAGAGATTACGTAGCAAAAGACACAACAATAAAGAAAAATATAATGTTATAAAAAAAAAAGAAATAAAAAAGTACAATAAAAAAAGCAATTACAAAGATAAAACTATAAATATTGTAACAGAGAGTTCGCTACAACTATTAAGGAAAATAAAATTAACTGTTATCAAAAAGTTATTACCGGTATTACTTGGGACAATGTAAAAATTTTAACTATAACCTACATATATCCAAATGTATCTATTAAACTATAAATATTTGGAAGTTAATCTAATATAAAGAGACTCGCATACATACATGAGCTATGAAATTATTATATTCCTTTTTTGTGCAGTCAAGTAATAATAAAAGCGTATCATAAATTTTGTTTTAATATTATATCGTAGCGATAAAATTGTACGATACCATACTGTACTGTAGTAAATCAATAAACAATTAAAATATTGTGTGATATGTAAAATAAAAAAAATATATATAGATACATAAAAATATTCGAAATTAAAAATATCCAAAAATATCGAACTTTTATAATACATATAGACAAATAGATTAATAAAATATATTGATATCTAGTTCAGAGTTTTTGCGCAGCTCAACCTAAAAATACAGACACGCTAAATGTCAGGCGGCCTTACCCCACATCGTATTGTTACAAGGGACAACGTTTCTCAATCGACCATTCGTGACCTTTTTCATAGATCGCCAATTCCGAACCGATTTTCAGAATTCCTTTTGCAATCGATAGGGTTTACTCCCGTGTTAGTCCCATGATTCCATTTTAAATTTATGACTACTAACGTTGCTTTTTTTCTTTGTGAAGAAAAAATACTGCTTTTGGTGAACACGCTATTTCTTATTCTTAATTCAAATATTTTCGATGTAATTCTGCATTCTACATTCAAATATTTTTAATGTGATTTAGTTAGTTTGTCACACAGACGTTCGTGTTCGTGTGCCTGTGCGTGCGTGTGTGCATATACGTGTGCGTGTGTGCGTGCGATGAAACTAAGATTTAAAGCTTATATAGTTACTTACTGTACCCACAGCCGCTAATTTTATATTTAGATTTAACATTTAGAAGTATGTAAATGCTGAAGATTGTTAGCATTTGGTAGGAGTTAGAATAAATTTTTACAAGTAAAAATACTTGAACTTAAAAGGACAAAGTCAAGGACAAAGTCAAGGACAAGGGCAAGGACTTATTCTTGTTGGTAAAGTACAAGTGGTTTCACTTCTGAAGATAATATTTAGAAGTTTAGCTGACGCTTTGTAAACATATATACCCAGTATTTATCATTATTTTCTTTTATACAAAGTTCGTTGAAAACTTTTAGAAGCACAGTCCCGACCGTCCGTTAACAAGCTGCCGACTTATTATGACTTCAGTGCGTGTCAGTTTAAGGGGAAAGGGAAATAAGACGAACACAAAAACTACTAGCTTGCAAAGTAATAATATTTTTTCTTCTTTCATTATATGATGTCCATAACATGTTATAAAGTCACAATAATTGTTATAATTCATATCTTTAATGCCGTGTGGTCCCTGCATAGAATAGGCCACCACTTCCTTTCCCGTGGGTGTCATAAGAGGCGACTAAGGGAGGGAGAGGGATGGGCAGCAGCATCCCACTTAAAATATATCCAAAGCCCAACTACGGTTGACAATCTGCCTACCAAGCGCGGCAACTACTGGCAATACCCCCCAAGGGGAAGGTTTATGTTCATTAGTGGTCAGTTAAAGACTGATGTGATGGCAATGATGGTATATTTAATGGGTGATAATGGCATTTCATTTTTTCATTATAACACTGCCTAGTACCCTGAAATAGTGTTGACAGCTGAAGACGAAAGCAGATCAGTTGGTCCATCATCACGAATTCATCAGGAATTAACCTATCGTGGTTTCCAGGTCCAACCGCATGGAGATCGATCTGATAGGGTATATTACTAGCTCAGGGGTTAGCTTGGGGGAGGGGCTTCAGTGCTTGTTTGATTCTATTACTTTTTATTATGAAATTTTTAGTTGTTAGTTTTTCTTAAAAAAAATTGCAGTAAATAAAATAAATAAATTACTAACAATCTCTTTTTACCAGCATAGTATATTAAATAATAAGGTATACAGTA